CGCTTTTAGAGCTTTGAAATGAGCCCAAACACGACGTATTTCGGTCAACTTTGAGTTTTCCACTTTAAAGGCGCATGGACCCGCGAAAAAACAAAATCCAGCGAAATAGGGCGTGTTCATACTCATTTTAAAGCTCTCAACAAGCTGAATGCACTGAACAACCTACAAATTTGAATTTCCCGCGTTTAGTGCTTCAAAATGAATATAAACATGATCCATTTTGCCTAATTTCGATGCGCAAAATCTTCGAAATTCTCGGAACCTGGGCTTGTTTATACTAATTTTGAAGCTCTCTTTATTTTAAACTCAGAAATGTTAAATTCAAGGTTCTGGATAGAAATTTAAGACAGTTATGGTAATTTTCGATTGTCCGTCTTTGAATTTGTAACGAAAACTACTGTATCACATTGAGTTTTTGAACTATTTGTATGAAATTTAAATTTTTGAATTTACCGCGTCAAGAGCTTCAAAATGAGTATAAACATGACCTATTTTGGTTAACTTTGAATTTCCAAGTTTAAAGGCGCATGGACCCTCGAAAAATTCGAAATTGAGCAAAATGGGTCATGTTTATACTCATTTTGAAGCTCTAAACAAGCTAAATTCAAATAGAACAAGATATTTTGAAAATCTAGAAAAATAAAAAAGTTATGAGCGCTTTTCTCTTTTAATCTAATTCTTCAAATTACATTCATCAACTATTTTTGGGGTTTAAGCTAAGTTTTTATTTTTAGACTAAAAGTTTTTGTATCAAATTTTGCGGGGATTCCACATTTTCAAAATTTTACAACCCAAAAAAGTACAAAAATCCTATTTTCGGTCCTTTTTGTGTCTTTCATCCCCCCCCCCCCCACAAGTATCAAATTTCATCAGGTTTTCACTTTTTCCCCAGAATTCCCAATTTTTAGGTTCCACAGCAAGTAAAGATGTCGTCAACGTCTTCTGGAGCGTATTCAGTGTCGAACGCACGTGGAAATGAGCATACGAGAGATGTTCAACAGGAAATTCAACGGACTTTCTATACAGTAGTCACTCGGCCCCAAAGGTGAGCATTTTCCAGGAAAATTGGCATGGAAAAACGTTAAAAGTGTCTAAAATTGTTAAAAATAGCTTTAAAATTAGTTTTAACATAAAAAGTTGGTCTAGAAAAGCTTCAAAATTGATGAAAATCAGTTAAAATAGCTTTAAAAATGATTTTTCACTGAAAAATGGCAAAATTCAAGGGCCCACAAATGTAGGTCAACATTTTCAGATTTGTCTGAAAATTTCAGAATACAGTAATCAAATATAGAGCTTCATTTTTGTAGTTGGCAACTTTTTAGAAAAATCTAGTCCTGGAAAACTATGGGACATTTTTCAAAATAAGTGAAAATTTTGCATTTTTGGTAAAAAATGACAATTTTGCGATGTCCGAAAATCTGGGTCAAAATTGTTGGATTTTTCTGAAAATTTCAGAATACAGTAATCAAATATAGAGCTTCAATTTTATAATTGACATCTTTTCAGAAAAATCATTTTTTTAAAAAGTTATAGCCGTTTTTTGGAAACTACTCCTTCCGATTATTTGATTTTTGAGTCAATTTCCTTTCAAGTGACCTATCTCTTCAGAACTTGATTTTCGAAAAAAGCTGTCAACTACAAAAATGAAGCTCTAGTTTTGTTTAGTATATTCTGAAATTTTCAGACAAATCTGAAAATGTTGACCTACTTTTATGGACCCCTAAACTTTGCTATTTTTTTTAAACTAAAATTGGAATTTTTGTTGGCTGATTTACTAGTCAATTTTAGCTCAAATTAGTTGGAAATCGCTTTGAACTGTCTGAAAATCAACTTAAAATGGTCCCAAATTGCTCAAAAACAAATGTGATGTGACCAAGTTCATTCAACATTAGCCTAAAAACCGAAATTAGATTAAAACTAACAAAAATCTTTTGAGTTTGTGAATTAACTTTTATTTTATTTTTCAAATTTTTTGAAAACTTGCTCCAAATTTAAATTCAACTGGTCAAGAGCTTCAAAATGAGCCCAAACACGGCCCATTTTGCTCGATTTGGATTTTGCAAGGGTCCATGCGCCTTTAAACCCAAAAGTTCCAATTTCGCCAAACCTAGTCGTGACTATACTCATTTTGAAGCTCTAAGAAAGCTGAATTCAATCAAGTAATTTAAAACGGCAGAAACTCGAAATAATAGCCAAATACGATCCAATTTAATTTTCCAAGGGTTAGCCAACACATTTGAAAGCCCTGGTAATCGATTTTCCATTGAATATTACTTTTTCAAACTTATATCGCTGAATTTGCAGCTTTACTAGCATTAAAATGAGTATAATCATGACTAGGTTAGGCGAAATTTGAATTTTCGACCTTAAAGGCGCATGGACCCTCGGTAAATTGAAAATAGAGCAAAATGGGTCGTGTTTAGGCTCAATTCGAAGCTCTAGACATCACAAATTAAAAAATCTAGATTTTACGTGTTGAGAGCTTCAAAATGAGCCCAAACACGACCCATTTTGCTTGATTTCGATTTTTCAAGGGTCCATGCGCCTTTAAAGTCGAAAATTCGAAGTTGACCGAAGTAGGTCGTGTTTATACTCATTTTGAAGCTCTAAACATGACAAATTCGATAGTTTTAATTACAAAAATTTTGCTCAAATCTCAATTAGTTACGGTTGTCGTTTTTTTCCCTTTAAAGGCGCATGCGACACTTTTCGGATTTTTTATTTTTAATGACACTAAAAGGTTAAGATTCTGATCTAAAGTGGCTGAGATAAAGTTTGTGTGTGTGTGTGTGTTGAAATATATCTAAAATCGACAATGAGCCTAGAGAGACAGAGAGAGAGAGAGAGAGTATTAGAATCAGAGAGACGCAGAGAAACGCAGAGGGTCCACTTTTTTTGTAAAGTTCGCCTGGAGAAGAGAAGAAGAAGAGAAGAAACACACATCTTTTTGATTCACTTAGAAAAAAGTGGACCCCAGAAAAAAAGATTCCTTCCAATTGGTTTAGGATTAAAAAAATATTTTGCTTAAAAAAGTTTTCTTGTTGCTCATTTTGATGTTTTAGCTATGAAAAATTTGGAATTCACAAGTTTTTAGCTTCAAAATGAGCCCAAACACGCTTCAAATCCGTTCATTGTGAGTTTTGACCTAAAAACGCGACGTCGCGGTCGTGCCAGGAAACTAAAAAATCGCCGAACCCCTGGCTTGTTTAGGCTCATTTTGAAGCTCTCAAACAGCTGAGTTCTAAATTTAAGTTTAAAAATTGAAATCGGTTCATTTTTAACTTCAAAATGCGCATAAACATGAACAACCTTTTTTTGAAATTTTGAAATTTTGAAAAAAACATTATTTTTCCAATTTTTCCTTTCACCTTTTTTATTAATGTTTAATTTCCTAATCAGATCTAACCTTCCTCAACTGTTTGCCCATAAAAAATGGTTTATAACCCTCCTCTCTTTTAAGCCACGCCCACTTTTTTATTAGGCCACGCCCACTTTTTTATTGCCAGGCTATTCCCATTTATGACTCATTTTGAACCGATTTTTATGGGGTAAAGAGGGTTCTGGGGTGAAAAATGGTTAAATTTTTGAGTTTTAGCACCTAAAAATTGATTGGGCCAGTGGAAAGTGTCGAATTTTGCTAAAAATTAAAATTTTCAAAAAAAAAAAAACGTTTTCGAATTGTTTTGAGAAAAATTAGATAAATTTCGTAATCTAGGTGACTCATGTAACAACGCTTTTTTGATTTTTGGGCATTTTATTAGAAAATTTGCTTTAAAACCTCAAGAAAATTCTAGAAATTGATAGAATCGTCTCATTTCAGACTAATTTTTTTTTGGAATTTTGCGGGTTTTTTTTTCCTTTTCCAAGCCAATTTTTTATATTCTAAACTCATTTTTTTCCCTGAAAAATTCCTTTTTTCTCAAAAAACATAATTTTCTTCAAAAAAAACTGAAAAAAAAGAATTTCCCCCCTCGCCCTCCCTCCCTCTCTGCGTCTCTTTACCTCCACCACTGCCCCTCCTTCTTATACGCACTTCCACACTCCCCCTCGGCATGCAGTCATGTCCGAGTGGTTAAGGAGATTGACTCGAAATCAATTGGGCTCTGCCCGCGTAGGTTCGAATCCTGCTGACTGCGAATCGTTTTTTTCTTTTTTGCTTTGTCTCTTGTGCTCATGGGTGACAAGAGCAAATAGATGTCGCGGTGTCTTTTTGGTGATATTTGTCTTCTTTATCTCTTTTCTGAAGTGCCTTTCAAAAAAACTTGCAAGTTTCTAGGGTGGCTCCATCTCTCTCCTCCCTGCGAAAAATCGAATTGATATCTCATATCATTCATATCATTTTTTGAGAGATCTCTAGAGGAATGTTCTAGAGACTCGATTTCTAATCATTTTTATGTCTAATTACTCGTTTAATTAGCATTTAATTATTATCAACGAAATTTGTGATGGGTGCAAAATGTTGCGCTCCATCGAGCTGTAAGGTTCGGAAAAGGTGAGATTTCGGTGGTCTGGATGGCTCCAAAAATGACTGGGATATGAAAATTTGGAATTTTTGGAAAAAATTGGTATGGAAAAGTTTTTTTTTTGGAGTTTTCAATTTTTGAAGTTTTCAGATTTTTAATTCGAAAAAATCTGAAAAAAACTCAAAAAATTTGTTTCTTTTTGGAAAAATTTCATCTTTTTCAGACTTCTCGACGAATATGAGGCACACGAAGTGTATACTCCCTCAAGAAGTACCTCAAAAGAGCCAGAATCCGCGTTGGCACGTCGTCGAGATTCTACAATAAGGGTCTCGGTACGATCGGAAGGCGCGGCGAATGGACAAATCCGTCAGCCGAATAATTCGATGGCTGGTGTCTCACTGACATTGCCACGTGTCAAAAATCATACGATACGAGCATCGGATACGGTACCTGTGGTAAGGGTGACACCCGGAAGAGCGCCATCCAAAGTGGAGACTAGTCATGTTGTGTGAGTTGCTTGATTGTAACTTTGTTCAAAAGCAAGATAGCAACAATTTGTAATAAGGAGCATGTAGCTCTTGAAAAGAGCTTCAAAATGATATAAAAGTTGATTTAGTCAGATTTTTATTTTTGGTCAAAAAAAGGGTCCTTAATGGACCACACGGACTTTACCGTTTTTTTTTTGGTTATTTTATTGGTTGGATCATATCTCTCTTCAAAAGTAGAGTTTGAAAATTATTCAAATTGCATATTGTAGTTTTTCAAAACAGCTTTCAAATGATATATGGTTTATCTAGTTTGAAAAATCTCAAGCTGGAGTCAAGGCAACCAATGTCTGGTCCCCTTGACGGTAGCCGATTTGGCTCTTCTCGTTACAGACGCTAATATTTAAGACAGGAAACATTTTTCGAAATGCCCAATTTTATATAATTTTGTAGGCAATTTTAAACAGCTTCCATTTTCCAATCAGAAGTTTTAAAAAATCTTAGTTTTGAACCAAGTTATAACGATTTTAGTACTTTGTATCAAACTTTCTTTGAACCAACTTCAAAAACTCGTTTATATTCGAATTTTCTTCAAAAATCAATGTTTTATACTAATTTCTACCTCAAAATTGCGAAATTTCAGCTTAAAATACCCCTAAATCTGTCATATTTTCAGCACCGGCTCCCTCACCCGACAACTTCAAGACGTTTCTGGAAAAAGTGTGGTTCGAGACTCGAAATCTGGAAAAACGATGGCGCCGACGAGAGAGGGACCAGGAAAAGTTACCTATCAATATAAGTGAGTTTTTGAAGGGTTTGAAGCTGATTTTCAAAAAATTTCAAGTAAAAATTTGAAAGTTTCGAGAAATTTTAGACCCAGTAGTGTCAAAATTGTAATTCGAAGTGATTCAAACGTTTTATAGGAAATTTTTCTCGGTTGGAGAAGGTTTTGAAGGTTTCAGACTAGAAAATTTAAGTTTTTGAGGTTTTTTTAACCTAGAGCTGCTAAATTTTAGTGTCAATTGGCGATTTTTGGCCATTTGTCACAGCTATGATTTTGATCCGTTTTGGAGCCGTTTTCAGTCCGTTTCAAGCATTTTCAGGACAATTTTAATCCATTTTCAGCCTAAATTAGCCACATTTTAGAATCCAAGTTTCTCGAAATTTTTTGTTATTTTTTGGGACCAGTTTCAGACTATTTTCAGCCACTTTTCAGTCTATTTTCATTCCCAAAATGCCCCTTTTTTCAGAGTAAACGCATCGGAACGACGAGTCGAATATCGGTATCAGTCTGAAACGCTACTATATGATTTCGAAGAAACCACGTAAGTTTTTCAACCGATTTCGAGCTAAAAATTGAAGTTTTATCCAAAAAATCGGATTTTAGAACATGAAAATTGGTCGGAAATCTGTCAAATTCGATACGGAACTGTACTAGTAGTTTGGAAATTATTATTTTTGAATTTTCCGCGTTTAGAGCTTTGAAATGAGCCTAAACACGGCCCATTTTGCTCAATTTTTGATTTTACGGGGGTCCATGCGCCTTTAAAGTGGAAAGTTCAATTTTTTTCCTAGCATAGTCATGTTTATACTCATTTTGAAGCTCTTAATTAGCTGAATTCCAAAATATGACTTTAAATGAACAAAAACCAAAAGTTTACGAACTACAACCAAATTTAATTTTCCAAGGATTAGTCAAAAATATGTAAATCTGTATTATCTTGCCTATTTTTATTTTCATGATGTAAAATTTAAATTTTTGAAATTCTTGCATTTTGAGCTTCAAAATGAGCTCAAGCACGACCCATTTTGGTGGATTTCAATTTTCTCGATGGTCCATGCGCCTTTAAAATGGAAAATTCAAATTTTTTTTCGCCTAGCATAGTCATGATTATACTCATTTTGAAGCTCTAAACAAGCCTAATTCAAAAAAAAAAACTTTTCAAAAACATAAAAACCAAAATTAACAAAATACTACCAAATTTAATTTTCTGAGGATTTTCCGAAAAACTGTAAAACTGTCTTATCATGCTTATTTTTGATTCCCGTCGTGTGAAACTATTATGTTTGAATTTGTCACGTCTGGAGCTTCACAATGAGCCCAAACACGACCCATTTTGGTGGATTTTGATTTTTCCAATGGTCCATGCGCCTTTAAACTCGAAAATCCAAATTTACCAAACATAGTCATGATTATACTCATTTTAAAGCTCTGAACAAGCCTAATTCAAAAATGCTAATGTAAAAATCATTGGAGGCCTAGTTCAGCTCATTTCCAACCGATTTTCATGACTTTTGACTCATTTTATTGGATGTTTCCTATATTTTTCCCCTAAAATTGACCCAAACTGTTCCAGAAAACGCGAACAGCTAGAGACATGGCAAAGTAAACGACGGGTCCAAGCACCGACAACCGCAGTAGTGACAATGGTTCGAAAAACGCAAAGTCTTCAGGAGAAAGCGGATTTCCAGGAATTGCTGGGTACGCGAAGGCGGGAGATTTGAATTTTTCGAATTTTTCGGGTTCAAAGAAGTGGACAATGGTTCGAAATCTAGAAAAAAAATGGGTCCAAAATGGGTTAAATGGACCGTTTGAAAATTAAAAAATGGGGGGAAAAATCGAAATCTGGCTGGGCGGGAAATCGAAAATGGAGATGGTCCAAAACCGGCTGAAAATGGCCGAAAAAAAAACGGACCAAAATTGATGTGAATTATTTCAAAATTTGGGTTGGCGGGAGTTTGAATTTTTTGAAAAATCCAAAATGCTCTACTTTCTCAAAATACTCAAAAACCTTCAGAAAAAAAGGTGTGAAACAGCTAAAATCCTGAGAATTGCCCAAAAATTCGAAAAATTCGGGCTGGCGGGAATTCAAATGTTCGTCTAAAATTGTATAAAAATGCCGAATTTGAGCTCAAAATTGCTCAAAAATAGT